GCTGGATTAGCTACAGCTCCTCCACTAGTTTGCAACTCTATGCATTTGTAAGCGCGAGCCAACGCACGATGATCGCTGTCATGTACTCAGGCACTGACGGACCAGCCAATGGTGTCTGCATGCGTATTATGATGTCCAGGATCAAGTTGACCCCCATCATGAGTTTGCAGCCAGATGCCACTAGTTCCACACGCATAACGATCCCTAAATTGGAGGTACGAGTAACACTGCTCACAGCGAGGCTGCTACGCAAGGGTGATAAGGAATACGCTGAGAGCATCGAGCACTGTCACGTCTGAAGCGACTCCTAGACCGTGCTTTACTGACTCCGTTCGTCTGAACTTGTACCGGACAATATATTAAAACACATTCAGTGTACTTGCGTTGTAGATTGCAAAAAAACATGTCGGTGTTTTAAGCAAGTCGGTGTTGTGCAACCTACATTACGTTCGTAGGACATGCATACTAGGACAACTTAAAAAAAAAAAAAAAAATACTAGATTAACAGCTGTGCTGACGAGAATCATCATTATGGATTTTAAAAAGAGTTAAATATTTTTATGCATCCATCGAAAACTAGTATTACTAAAAAAAAACCATTAAAATCTGTAAAAATTAATTTTCAATTAGTATTTCAACGGGATACTGAAGATAAATAGTTTTATGATTTTTCTGGCTTGGTCTGACCAGTGAAACCCCTTTATGGAAAAATTCGATTCGTTATTAAAGAAGAAAAAAAAATGCTATCGTTAATAATTAGAAAAGTAATTGACCAATGATACTACAATTATATATACATGTTGAAGTCAAAATGAGCATTAGTTTTAAGAATTTTCAATCATCCATGTGCAGCCATTTTTTAGTAAATAAACTAGTGAAAAAAAAGGTTTTTTTCACTTCTGGAGCTGTTTGCAGGTTAACAATTGCAGTTATCGACCTCTATTAGTGCTTAAATTGTAAAAAAATTTACAAGGAATAACTTCCTAATGCATTTGCTGTACTACTAAAAATTAAAAAAAAACGGAGATATTAAAGAGAAAAGAGAAAAAAGCACTTTTTTCGTCATTCTTAATAATAAAATGAAGCACACTAACAATTTTGGCGTAAATTTAGGGGGTTCAACTACACTCCAAAACTAAGCAATTCCAATAATAAAATTTTTTGCGTCCGAAAAATTCACTCAAAGTTTTCCACCGTCTAGCCAAAATCCAGCGGATGTGGCGTCCCAGTGGCACGGATCTTTACGCTTCAGCAGATGCGTACTTGGTAAGAAGGCCCCTCCTAGACCACAGGCCTTCTTGATTCGTGTCCAGCCGAGAACACAAAGCTCCGAAGCTGGGGCAACCTAGCCACCGACGGCACCCTACAATTTTGTTGCGTTGTTCAATACACTACGCCAAATATTGTTAAGAAGTTTTCGGATCTCGGCCTTCTCTTTCGCTTCCTTGCTCGACTGCCTCGCTTGATCCATCGTCAGCTGCCTCGGCTGCGTCGAGATCCCACTCTCCAGCCTTTCGCTCCTCTGACAACGATCGCAATGCGCGATGCCTACCTTGCCTGTGTCCACCTCAGCCAGCTATAGTTCTTCGCGCTAGAGCTTCCAAGCTTAAAAGAAGGACGGCTGTGTTCCTGCGAAAAATCCACTGCTGCCCTTAGACTATATTGTTTTCGGTGACGTCCTTTAAGTTGGTGGTCGTCTTCAGCATTCTGCGCTTGCCTTCGACGAGAAGCATCTGCCAATCCTGAGAGAGCTGCGGCTGGCTCGACCACTGCCGTGGCAGGCAGAACACACACTATATCGACGGCAACCAACGTATGCTGCTTCTGATCTTGCACTTCCGTTGGAAAACTTCCGAACCGAACCTCCACGTTACTCTGCTGACTCTACCAATATTTGCCATGGAAGATCTGCCGACTTGTATCACTAACGTTTAAAATAAGTAAAGAGCGATTCAAACCAACGAGTCGAAGAATTTATATCATATGATGTGTATATTCCAAAATATTTTGTTTCTGGCAGCACGTGTAAATTTCACTATGACTGAATTTTCAGGGTATGCATTTTAGTCCTGAAATGTGACAAAAAAACTTTAACGGGTACATGATTAAAGAATCTAAATCGAAAGATAACGAGCACATGAGGAATATTATACACATGAGGAAATCCATTACTAATTTAGATTTACACGTTCAAAAAAAAAAAAAAAAATTTTTCGAGACATACACTTGAACCAATTTTGTCCTCATTTTATACACTCTCAGAAATGAGGAAAAATTGTGTGCAAGTATTCAAGGACACTGTTTTAAGCGCTTCACTGAAAATTTTGAATACTGATTTTCTAAGGTGAAAAAGCCGGACTAAACTGAAAATTGTCGGAAACTGATTGAATCGTACCGAGTGTTAAAAAATTCTTCTTTTCCCACATTTTGTAGACGTTTGGAAACAGTAATCACCCCAAAACTATGCACAACTTTGATATATAAATAATTTAGGGTAAATTTGCCCATCTAAAGCCTCCCCATGTATTGCAGTACCAAAATTTGGTGTGAAAATGTATTATTTCACCTCAGAAATCCTCTGTCGAGGATTTTTGAGGTCACTGATTACGAATCGGAGGTCTAATTGCAAGCAGGGATAGTTTCAACCTCTCGAAATCAACCCCAGTTGCAGTTATCATTAAAAAATCCATAATTTGGCCACTGAAATCATTTCTCCAGGGGTTTTCAAGGTCGCTTCCGAGGTCCATTTGTGCGCAGGGTTAGCTTCCGTAGACAACTATCAAAGTTATCATTGAAAAAGCACGTTTCGTGATGGTATACTCATAAGAGCCTGTATATCGCCATCCAAATTAAATTTTTTTCAAACTGAGACCCTAGCCCCTAAAGTTCTGAAGTATTTTATGAACGTCGAAAAAATTAAGTTGCAAAATTTTTTAGTAACAGTTTAGTTCACGACCCCTCCTGAGAAGTTGAACTCGCAGTGCTGCCAACGTAAAATTGCACGGAAAAACCGAAATTACTACCACAGGAAATTTGAATGTAAATAACTAATTACCATGTTATGTTGGCAACATTTTTTGCGGATTCTGAAGCTAACTTTTCACAAGGAGTCATGAAATACACATTTGCCAATTTTTATAATAAAAATCAATAGAAAATCTAATTTTTTTCTGATCCCATCAATCATAAGTCGTGGAAGTCGAAAACGCTGTTTATAAGACTAGTATATTCACCAAGAGCTCAAGTAGGACTGTAAGGCTGCGGGCACATGGAACCACGTAAAGCGTATTGCGTAAAAGTAAGGAAAGTTAGGTATACGCCAGTTTATGGTCACGAAAAAGCGTAAAACCTAAAATTCTCAATACTATACATGTCAAATGAAAAAATTTCATGTATTTGTAACTGCCCACATACTCCTTTTTTAAAACTTTTATTTGAGAGCCGTAAATGCAATTTATACAGCTTCATAACACTTCTCACTTTTTCTTTGCGATATTGGGTCATTGCATAGGTCGTATAGACTTTCCACAATTTACCCAAAGTTCTTACGATTAGGTTTTTTATCCAAGTTAAAAATCCAATTAATTATACAATTGACACTTCAATTGCTATTGTTGACATTAGCTGTTGACTGTATTCACAGATTGCGGACTTTATATACGCTTTACGCAAAAAAATTTACTATCGTGCACATGGGTAAAAAAATACGCACGTAACTTTATTTTTCCATGAGTGACTTACGCGAAAAACACTTACGCGCGTGTTGACTCCCATGTGCACAATGAAGAATTTTTTCGCGTACAGCGTACCTTACCTAACTTTCCCTGATCCTGTTATTTTACACGATACGCTTTACGCTTAACGCAGTTCCATGTGCCCGCACTCTAAGTGCTATAAATGTTTTTTAAACAAACATTTGGCAAGTGCTAACGATTGAATAGTCCTATGTTTCAATAGAACTTTTGGATCCTTACTGGAGTCTTAGTTGCAAATTTATTCACAAATTACAATGTTAAGACTAAAAATAAATCTTGTAATATAGAGAAGTATACCAAATCTAAAGTAGGACCAATTATTATCAAGGTATTTTGCACATGTTCAGCTTGACGGTCCAAACGAAAAGTATCACCACTCAGATTTCTCAAAGTTTTTTACATTAAAAAAATCAAATGGTACTACTGATCGCCTCGACTGTAAAGCTGTATGAATTCTTGCAATTGGAATGTCTTAAATTAGCACATGTATTAGTTCCTCAACTTATATTTGATCAAACAACACATTAATTAATTCAAGTAAACATACACAAACTTTCTAGTTTAAATAACGTGCAAATTATAATTGAGTATAAGCACTTATGAAGTTCAGCACATCATGATAAATCTGTAAGACACTTTTTATATTCCAGTGGCTGCTCTGTGTTTCATCAAATGTAAAATGTCGTTGTCCACCAAGTACAATTTAACATGTATAATAAAAGTTAACCAACTTAGGTGAAAATTTTTAGACACATACACAATTAGATTTCTAGAACGTTGTATGTATTAAATAAAGTAAAGTGAGTTTTATTAGTCATAAACATATAGCTCATTAACTTAACTTTTTTAAACTCTAATAACATTGCTCTCAAATTGCCAAAGTACATCTAACGCATACTATAGTAATGATACACCCAACTTAGTAAGAAAAAAGTTGTATAGCTTACTGTAGAGCAAATTAGCACCAAGAGAAACAATTATTTTTTGTAGATGATGCATAACAGAATATTATGTGATCATATACAGTACAACTGCCCATTGCTAACTGCTAAATCAATCAGTTAGTATTACTGCATTAAGTAAAACGATGTTAAAAATAGTAGATCTAAACTGTAAACTACATGTACGTGAGTCTTCACAAATTTTTTATGTACATAAATAGTGACTAGATAGGGAATTGATACATAGTAATTAAGGAATATTAAAAATTTGTGGATAAATTTTTCAACAGTTTATCCCACTTACACTCACTCAATAACGTCAGGTATTGAAAAAATTCTCCGTCACTGTGTCAGTATTACCTTACCAGATTACCACATATTACAACAACCAAAGAATTCTAACGTTTTTAACTAAAGGTTAAGTTATTTTCTAGTTAGTCAGTCGGTAGATGGCTCGAATTAGTCTAATTCCTCAAAAAGTATCCCGGACATAGACATATGAAAAAAATAGACAGCTCGTTCTAATGTACGGCGCTGAAGTACAAGTAGAAAGAGACACCATATTGAACGTGTACACCTGTCTCTCTCGCACGTTGCCAACAGTGGGAAGGTTGCACCCGCTCAGAACTTTAACTAGCCTGCCTCGGTAGTTAGAGGTAATGACAGCCATTTCGAAGCAATGTGTGTAAGATAATTAACTGACATGTTAAGGGTTCTCTGCATTTTTAATAAATAGTTTTTTTTTAATTTTTTTTGTAAAATGAGTGAGACAGTGAAACGATCGTTGTCATTAAGTAAAGAAAGGGTCAAGAGATATCGTGCTTCAAAACGTGCAATTGTAAAGGAGGAAGAAAAAGAAATACATGGCACCAATATTCGTGCAAATTACGATCGGTTATTGAGTTATTGGGTTAAAATGAAAATGCTGAGAACTAAAACATTTAAAATATTTTCACAGTCTTATTAAATTGACACTATTTTTTTTCCTACTGCATTTTTTTTCATTGTAAAAATAATTTGTTTTTTTAATAAAAAAGTTACCATTGTTGTAAGACATTTTACTTTTTTATATTCTCCTAGTCTTAGAATTTATTTCTTGAAGTACATTACATTACGCACACCTGTAAGCGAGGTTAAGGAGCAGAGCAGAACATTTACTTAAAGCGTTTTCGGTGGGGGTATGCAGAAAATGTACTCTATAGAAGTTGCCTATAGGTAGGGCCAAGCTAAGCCGCGTTACGTTACGCTATCTGCCTCTATACTTTTGCCTTGCTAGGACCTAGCTTGGCTAGCTAGGCTGCCTAGGTATAGGCACAAGCTAGACCCCTGCTAAGCTTTTCGATCGGGCATCAGCGGCCTTAGTTTACTGACCCCCACCTTTAGCAATGTGCGAGAGCGACAGAATTCCACGTTCGATGTTGTATGTTGTATCTCTTTCTACTGGTGCTTAAGCGCCGTACACAAGAACCAGCAGTCTATTTTTCTTATGTCTATGAAGAGGAATAGACAAGGCACGTCACGACAAAAGCCTATTATGAAATACAGTTTATATATACTTAAATTGTCAATGCTTGCCAACGTCTACATTACGAAAGAAATATCTCCATTATAGCTATGAGTATACTTAGACGTCTGAAAACTTGAATAATAATAAAAAATTAGAGTTATATCATTTTTTCGTCGAATTTGTTTTGATACGTGGTATGTGCACTGTGTGTTACGCGTTCCGCTTCTACTATGGAAAACGTCCGTCTTGTTGTACCAACATAATTCAGTATTGTGTATTTATATCACAGGACATGAAATAAGATCCTTTACTCTGTTGATTTATTGTTTACTATACAATGAGTTATGAACAAGTTTCGCATTTTCTAGAAGTTAAGGGATGTACTACAAATTTGGGACAAAAATCAAATGCATGTATTTCATGTTCATAAGTCAAAAGTGCGATGCATCATTTAAAACATGATTTTCCATGTAAGAGTATTCTAACTCATGATGATAATCAGAATGATGTTTATATATTGCGTATGGAGATAACAGAGCCTTTGTCAACATTGAAAAGTCTTATAGAGCAAAAATGCGGATTCAAGTTATTAGATTATTCGTTTTTGCTACAAAATTCTGTTATGGTACTACTTTAAGATAGTATTCTATTTTTTAGAAACAATTATTTTATAATTGTTAATTCTGATTTTAGTTAGAAAATCATAAAAATTTGGTTGACCAGTGTATCGAAGGAAAAGGATTGGTTCAAATACATATCCAAATGAAACATAGCGAAAAGCAGATCAATATTGTTGATGTATTAAAACTAGCTGAAAATAACATTGATATTTCAGAAAATAGTAAGTACTTTTTTCTTATTGTCCTCACATACATTTATGTAATAATGTAAACAAGCAAAAGCCGAAAAAACAAATGTCATGTGTAACATACTGCTTGAGTGATATGTTTCCTTGGATCACAGTTACTCAATTAGACGTTCAAAATAATCTGGACAGTAACAGTTGCAGTGTTTTATTTGACACATTAATAATTGAAAAATGTGACATGATATACATGGTTTGGTACTTTAATCCTTGACCTGTTTTTGGCCTTTTCTATTTCAGAGACCATGTTTTTTATCAAGTCTTTGCCCTAACCGTGTTACAGTGTGTGAGTTTTTGTGCGGGCCCCTTGCGAAGTTCCTCTCAGACGACTCGGCCACTAATAACAGCGCGCAGTGATTGTCTCAAACACACCCTAGCTATTGTCAAGTTTAATGAAAGGATTTTTTTTTATGTGAAAACATTTTATACAAGGTTTAGACTCTCTACTTGGGCAATGAAAATTTTCAAAGAGTATCGCTTTTTCTGTCACGCCTATATAGATATACTAATACCGTTATCTTTCTTTCTCTACTGAGGAGCGCTGAGTATACGATGCTGCTAGCCAAAATATATAGACATACTACATTATATTCGCCTACAAGCACTGCGCCTATCTCCTGATGACCCGGAGCGCTTACTGGCCTCACTATTAAATAATAAATTGTTTAATAATAACACAAGCACCTATCAGCCGATGACCCGGGCCGAGGCGCTTATTAGCCACTCTATTATAAGGGGCCATCCATAAACTACGTAACGCCATTTAGGGGGGGTAGGGGTACGACAAATTGCGACATTAAGTTATGTGGGGGGAGGGGGGTGGTAATTAAAAGTGTCGTAACTTCACTTTACACCACGAAAATTAAAAAAAATTGAATGCACTATTATATTTTTTCAAATAGAGCGCGTAATTGTAAGTTTCTCAGTCGTGCCACGCTAGGCGCTGTATTGTACGTACATACTAGTGACACTGCTACCTACCTACTCGTATTATACGTTGATCACGCAGCAGGGTTTTGTTTTTCAAGTGCATATGATGTAGAGTTAGAATAAAAGTTTTATTTTATAATAATTCAGTTAGTCAATTTTTATTTTTATTTAAAAAAAATTTTTTTTTCTAATAGAAAAAGTTACGTAACATTTACTGGGAGAGGGAAGGGTCAGGCAAAACGTTACGGTAAGTTACTTGGGGGAGAGGGGGGGTCAAAAAAGGCCGAAAACAGCGTTACGTAGTTTATGGATGGCCCCTAAGTGGTAAATTATTAATTTATATCACAAGCAACTATCAGCCGATGACCTGGGGCGGTTACTGGCATAACTGTATAATAATAAATTGTTAATCAGTAACACAAGCGCCTATCACCTGATGACTCGGGACGCTTACTGACCTAACCATTGAATAATAAAATGGTAATGAAACACAACCAGTGCCCTGGATTATCAGGTGATTAGCGCTTGCGTTATTATTTGACATCTTATTATTGAATAAAGTGGCCAGTAAGCGCCCTGGGTCCTTAGGTTATAGGCGTTTGTGTTTTTATTAAATATTTTATTATCTAATAGTAGCCAGTGAGCGCCCCTGGTCGTCGGGTGATAGGTTCTCGTATTATTATTAAGGAAGTTCGGTCGTTTTTCCCGAGTAGGTGATCAGGTGTGCAGGGGATCCTATAAGACACCGTTTTAAAGTGAGTTATACTAACCGCGCATAAAGATGTCCTCCTACTGCATCACGGTGAATTAAACTGATGACTGTGAAGTTTGCAACGTAACGTGCAACGAAAATAAAAAAAAATTTCTTTGTTTTTTTTTTAATTAAAATTAAACAAGTAATAAGAAAATCTCCCAGCAATTTTTAAATCATAAAAATGTACCCTTCTCGAGATATAAAAGTTTAAAGATTGATTCAAGTGTTAAGGCGTGAAAAAAGCGTTTCAGCCTTTAAAACTATTGAAAAGATATTTAAATAGATTAAGTACATCAAAGTTAGTCTTTGTCTATGCAATAACTCATAAAAACTATCAAAAAAGAGTTATTCTTTATGATACCGTCACGATATAACAATCACCCATCGAACCCAATAATCCAAAAAAGTTACAATAAACTGTATACGCAAATACAAATGACTTACAAAACGAAAAATCATCCATACAAAAACTATATTCTTAGTACTAGCTCAATAAAATAACTAATAATGTATATTTCCCGTCCTCAAAAACTTAATATGTTGAATATTTCAGTGTGGAAATATCCGTGATAGACAAAAATTTTTTAACATTCTCATTAAATAGGCTGTACGACACCAAGGATGACAAGGAAAACGGAATAAAAGATAAAAACGTACAACAGTTGAAGCACGTTGCGTCTTCGACAACTTGTTATTTATTGAGTTTATCATAAAAAAAGACCAGAATATACCAACATTTCAAAGGAATCTGATATCACAAGCTGCACGCAACTAATAATGCATAGACATTGATAAATATCACTTAGTACAAAAAAGAGTTATAAGTTCTAATAATTTTCGTCTTCCGGAATTATTAATTACGCGTACTATATAGCAAAAATGACTTTTATATGCACTTAGTGATAATAATAAATCTCTATGCATTATCAGTGGCGTTCAGCCTGTGATAATAAATCTTCCCTTAATTTTCGTCCTTTTCGGTCATTTTTTCGATATAGTATGCGTAATTAACAATTCTGGAAGACAAAAGTGGTTAGAACTTATATTTTCTATGTGTACTAAGTGATATTGATTAATTTCTATGCATTACCAGCGGCGTACAGCCCGTGATAATTAATTTTCCCTAAATTTCCGTACTTTTCAATCATTTTTTGGATATAGTACACGTAATTAATAATTCCGGAAGACAAAAATTGTTAGAACTTAAACCTCTTAATTGAACAAAGTAATATTGAATAATTTATTTGCATTATCAGTGGCGTACAGCCCGTAATAATAAATTCTATGTAAATTATTATTATTTTCCGGTCATTTTTACTGTATAGTACGCGTAATTAATAATTCCGGCAGCTTTTATATGTACTGAATGATATAAATCAATTTCTCTGCATTATCAGTGGCGTCCAGCCTGTGATAATAAATCTTTTCTAAATTTCCGTAGTTTTCGGTTATTTTTGCGATATAGTATGTGTAATTAACAATTTTGAAAGACAAAAATTGTTTAATTCATAACTTTTATATGTACTAAGTGATATTTATCAATTTCTATGCATTTTTAGTGGCTTACAGCCTGTGATAATAAATTTTCCCTAAATTTCCGTACTTTTCGGTCATTTTTGCTACATAGTACGCGTAATTAATAATTCCGGAAGAAGAAAATTATTAGAACTTATAAGTCTCATTTGTACAAAGTAATATTGGTTAACTTCTATGCATTATCAGGGGCGTACAGTCTCTAATAAATTATCCCTAAGTTTCCATTATCTACCGGTCATTTTTGCTATACTGTACGCGTAAGTCTTAATTCCGGAAGACAAAAATTGTTAGAACTTATAACTCTTGTTTGTACTTAATTATATTAATTAGTTTTTATGCATTATCAGTGGCATACAGCCTGTTATAATACATCTTTTATAAATTTTTATTATTTTTCGGTCATTTTTGCTATATAGTACGTGTAATTAATAATTTCGGAAGACGAAAATAATAGAACTTTTAACTCTTATATGTACTAAGTGATATTTATCGATTTCTATGCAGTATCAGTGGCGTAAATCCTGTGATAATAGATCTTGCCTAAATTTTGGTACTTTTCGGTCATTTTTGCGATATATTATGCGTAATTAGCAATTCCGGAAGACGAAAATTGTTAGAACTCATAACTATGATATGTACTAAAAGATATTAATCAATTTCTTTTCATTCTCAGTGGGGTACAGCCTGTGATAATAAATTTTTTCCAAATTTCCGTACTTTTCGGTCATTTTTGCGATATAGTATGCGTAATTATTAATTTAGGAAGGCGAAAATTGTTAGAACTTATCATTCTTATTTGTACAAAGTAACATTTAATAATTTTATGCATTATCTGTGGATCACAGGCTGTGATAATAAATCTTCCCTAAATTTCCTTACTTTTCGGTCGTTTTCGCGATATAGTATGCGTAATTAGAAATTTTGGAGGACGAAAATTGTTAGAACTTATAAATCTTTTTTGTACTAGGTGATATTTATCAATGTCTATGCATTATTAGTTGCGTGCAGCTTGTGATGTCAGATATCTTTGAAATGTAGGTATATTATGGTCTTTTTCAATGATAAACTTAATAAATAACAAGTTGTCGAAGACGAAACGTGCTTTATATGTTTTACGTTTTTATCTTTTATTTTGTTTTTCCTGCCATCCTTGGTGTCGTACAGCCTATTTAATTAGAATGTTAAAAAATTTTTGTCCATTACGGATATTTCCACAATGAAATATTCAACATATTAAGTTTTCGAGGTCGGGGAATATACATTATTAGTTATTTTATCGAGCTAGTACTGAGAATATAGTTTTTGTATAGATGATTTTTTATTTTTTAAGTCATTTGTACTTGCGTATACAGTTCATTTTAACTTTGTTGGGTTATTGGGTTATATGGGTCATTGTTATATCGTGACGGTATCATAAAAAGGAACTCTTTCTTAATTGTTTTTATGAGTTATTGCAAAGTCAAAGACTTGCCTTGATCTCTATACACTATATGAAATTCACTTTGATAGTTTCAAAGGCCTCAACGCATTTTTTACGCCTTGACACTTAAATTAATCTTTAAACTCTTATATCTTGAGACGGGTACATTTTTATGATCTAAAAATTGCTGGGAGCCTTCCTTATCACTTGTTGAAGCATTTAAAGCATTTTAATTAAAAAAAAAAAAAAAATTTTTTATTCATTTTCGTTGGACGCAACGTTGCAAACTTTAGAGTCATATTTAACTGTGTTCTACTTGTTAATGCTCAAAAGTTC